TCTCTCATTACCACTGTTGCATCTACACAATACTAGTTAATGCTGTGTTTTCCTGCATAGAACACACAGCTAATTATTTGTAAAATGTGGAGTCCCAGTGAAAGGCAGCTTCCCATTCTAAAAATAAGATGAATATTTATGACATGCTGGTAACTTTGACATAACATCAAAGTTGCTGCGCTCTTGTTTCATTTAGCTCTACCATAGGCGTGTACAGTATTGATAGTCTATTTTAATCAGTATTTCAGTATGTTCCAGGAGATGACAGTGTACTTTAAGATACTATATTTTCTTTTCCTTAAAGAATTTTTGAGAGAAGTCCGCCTTAATGTTCAGCCAGGGGAGATTTTGGCAAATGAGCAGACCTAACTTGGCTAGCCTGTCCTTTATTTTCAACCATGTGAAATGGGAAAACCACCTTCCACATCTTGAACCCATAAATAGAGCTATTCAAGTGAACATCAATCTGAATAAGACAGAAATATGCATTCACCTACTTGGGTTCTGATACTAACCACTTTTGTATCCAGAATGATTCTAAAGAGGTTTTTTTTTATTTTGGGGGGGGGTTAATTAAGACACTCATCAACATTTTCTAACGATATTTTCAAGCATTTCCACCAGGGGGCACTCCCCTCATTGAAAGATCTGGGCCAAAGCAAAGCCCCAAGGTTACTGTCAAACCTGACACCCTCTCTCCTGGCTGCTTTACCGTTCTGGAGTGCCCAAGGTCATGAGACATTGCTTCAAGATGTCCCTGTGCTCAAGGGAGAAGAAAACGGAAAAGTTGGCCCTTTGGAACAGTTAAGCAGAAATAAAACCATTGACCCTTACTTAAGACATAGTATGCACCATTGGCAAGTCAAGGCAGTGTCAAAATATGGGTGGAGAGATTTCTACATTTTCTCCACAATGGCAGGCTGCCCTCTTTGCTCCATGCTTTGTGATGGTGACGTCGTCTTTTGTTAACAAAACCTCATAGAGAATAGGGAGGAGTCTTTCCATGCATTTGCTTTTTTAACTGTCATTCTCGTTTCAGGAAATAATTTTAATAACAATGTGTATGACGTGGTACTTAGTTCAAGATTTGCAAATACATAATTTCAAGTCTCCTAAACATACAGGATCTTTTCTGATTTAATGTTTTGTTGTAATTACTGACCAGTTGGTGTGGATGAATCTCTTCTACCTTTTCACTGACGGCAGGCTCAACGTCCCCTAACTTTTCACTGAAGGGCCATCCTGAGCCCTGATGATGACTTAAGAGTGTACCGGGGGATGGCATCTCTCACTCTGTCACTAGTTTCTTTCATCCTGTGGTCAGTATCCATGGGATTAATCCATTTAGTAAATATTTATAAAACACTTACATGGAAGGCTATGTGCTGGGACAATAGAAATGATGATTAGATTATCAGGCCCAAGGAAGAAAAGAGCCCTGGTGGCACAGTGGATAAAGTAATCAGTGACGAGCCCAAAGGTTGGATCTCACCAGCCACTTCAAAATAGAAAAGCTGTGGGAATCTGTTCCCATGGAGATCCCAGATTGGAAACTCCATGGCCAGTTCTGTGCTGGCCTAGGGAATCGCAGTGAGCTGAAGTAAACTGGAAGCCACACAGTCATATATTCATAGCATACTGTGTGTACTGTGGCCTAGTGGTAAGGTGGTGTGCTGTCATTCCAAAGGCCTGGGGTTCGAATCCACCAGCTGAAGAAAGATGGACAATCTCCTGTGTGATTAACTGCCTTTGAAAAGCTGCTGGAGGGTCAGCTGTGAGTCGGTTCTGACTCAGTGGTGCCCATGAACAACTCCAGCAACAACGTGTAATGGATACTTGCCTCTCTTTTTATGTCATTGGCATGATTCCTTTTTTTCTAGCACTTTTTAAAAAAGAAATCTTTTGTATATCTTAGGGGCAGGGGATTTGCACTTATCTTCAAATCTCATTTTCTTTCTTTTTGACACCTGTATCTTTAAATTTTAATATGATGTCTTAGAACAGGGCAAATCTAATTATTTCCCTTATGCAAATTTAGTGACTGATTGATCAGTCCTGTGGCTGAATTTGTTGTTGTTGTTGTTATTTTTTTAATTGATATTTTAACGAAAGCTTACAGAAATCTTGGATTTCAATTCATTCATTGTTGCACAGCTTTCTGCCTCCCCTCCGGCCCCCAGTTGCACCTCTTATTCTGGACTGTTGTTATGCAGGTAATACCTAGTTACCTATTTCTTTTAGACAGTTTCCCCCCTCATCTATTTAAATGCCGTGTTCATTATTTATCTTTTCTTAAACTATCTAGATGTTTTGCTCCTATGTGGACACAGTTGTTGGTATTGTAGCTGTAAGTTTGTTCTTTGCTTTAGTTATGTTTCTTGGTAGAGTCAAAAATTGAGGTCATTCCAATTTTTGTTTGTTTCATATAGGTTGAGGAAAAATAAACTCTTAACTTCCTAAACTTTCTAGAGCACCTCTTTCAAAATAAACCAAGCCCACTCTCTTCAAGTCCCTTCCACCGCTCACGGCCCTGCAAGCCAGAGCAGAATTGCCCCATGTGGTTCCCGAGGCCCCAGATGTGCTCAGGGAAAGCCAGCTGCCTCGTCGATTCTTCCGTGGGGTGGATGGTCTGAGTGGACTGCCAACCTTTTGGACTCGAACCATTTTCTAAAGTTTGTCATCATCATTGTTCATCGTCCACTTGGAAGAAACTCACAGCTGACCCACCAGTGGGTTTTCAGAATTGCAGGGGAGGACCCTGTCCATCTTTGTCCACAGACCAGCTGGTGGATTCAAACCACGGGCCTTTTGGTTGGTTCCACAGCTCTGGACCACTCACCAGCCTCTAAATTGTTAGGGTTTGGTTTTTGGGTGTTTTTTTTGAGACACCTTGATGGTGCAACAATTTAGCACTCACCTGCTATCCAAGAAGTTGGCAGTTCAAAACCACTCAGGGGTCCTGGGGGCGAAACACCTGGCCACCTGTATTGTAACAACTTGCAGCCAAGAAAACTCTATGATGCAGTTTGATTCTGTTAAGAGCTGCCATCAGGAATCAGTTATTTTTGAAATGGATAGTGGTCTTGACTCTGCAGCCAACTTTGTTTAGTCAGTAAGGTGTGTTAACACTGAGAACTGGAAACAGCTCAGTTTGCACTGCTTCTAAAAGACCACTAATAAAAACCTGAGTGTTTGCACCCCAGGGCTTGGTTATTTTGGCATGCACGCTTTCATTCCCCAAAATAGATCTTGAACCATTGGCCCCTGGTTATTGGAGAGTAAATTTTGCGATTTATATATAAACCTCGGTAAATTCTAGTCCAAATGAAATTATAACACACTAACATTCTGGCCAAGTAGAGAAAGCCTGTGTCTTGATGTTCCAGGCATCATTTCACATATAAGACTGAAAGTCTGAGGGCTGTCCACCCTTAAAAATGGACAGGAACTCTTTCTTTCCTTCCCGTTTCATATGCCCCCTCAACACACTGGCAGAAACGGCCCAAGACTTTAAAAGACCTTGTTGCAAATGGATGTTATATAATTTAAGAAGAGCAGCGTCTAAAAGTAGTGTTCTAATGATTTGTAAAATTTTTTCAATCACTAATAACTTAGTCCCTAAATTGGGGTTGTTTTTGTTTTTTGGGTTTTGTTGTTTTTTTTTTTTTTTCACAAACAAGAAATTTGTGAATTAAAGAGAAAATGGACACACATTCCTACTTTTGGCCTGCTATAATAGATTTCTGCAGGTATAGAGAATAGTTTTGATTTTATCTGTGGTTTCTGAAGTTCAGAATTTCAACTTGTCACCCAAGGATATATAGCAAAATGCTATTTAGAATCAAGTAGAGAATCCCAGTAAAAATAGCAAAATTTTACAGAACAGCAAACAACAAATGCTGGCGAGGTTGTGGAGAAACTGGAACCCTTATTCACTGTTGGTGGGAGTGTAAAATGGTGCAACCACTGTGGAAAGCAGTATGGTGCTTTCTCAAAAAGTTGCAAATAAAAAGACCATTTGACCCAGCAGTTCCACTACTGGGAATATACCCCAAAGAGACCATAACTGCCATCCAAGCAGATATATGCACACCTATGTTTATCGCGGCTTTGTTCACAGTAGCAAAGAGATGGAAACAAGTGCCCATCAACAAATGAATGGATAGAGAAGCTGTGGTGTATTCCCACAGTAGAATCAAGTAGGGAGATCGGGGTGCATTCCTTTAAAGGCAGATTGAAAGAGACCCTTGGTGGCGTTGACTTTTTAACGCTATGAAACCCATCAGAGCTGGAACTCCACAGCAGGCCTCTGGAACATTCCGCCTTAGACATACATCACCACTGCATCACTTTTCTGTTGCTCTGTATTTGTGCGAAATACTTGATTTTTCCTTCACTGGCACATTTCCATCATACACAGGTTCTGACTTTCCTGAGTTTGACTAATTTCATAGCAAAGGGTGACGTAAACTATTGCTGGTGAAAATGTAACACAAATGCCTGGTGAAAATGTAACAGTGTCTTTTTTTCCCCTCCCTAAATGTGTTATAATCCATTTTCTTATATTTTCTTTGAAAGTTCCACTTCCCCTCTGGAAATGGCTTTGTGTCCTCGCTTACTGGCCTGTTGGCATTGCTCTGTCTTTGTCTAGCAAGCCTGAGAGGTATACAGTTCAATGCTGTTGTATTAGAAAGCTTTCATTTATTCTTCACTCCCCTCGATTCTCTCTCTGAAAGATTTCATGGCAAGTTAAGCTCCTCAAAGGAAGGAGACCAATTAGGCAGTTTCAATTTATGCTATATGTGAAGCAGATGCTTAATAAAATTAAGAAGACAATTGAGGCTCTCTTCTCTACTACTTCAGTTGTAACTAATATATTCCTATGCAGAATTAATGCCTCTGACTGTTCATTTTCCAAACGTGGGGGGGAAAGAAAAGGGAAGGCTTGCCTGTCTTGGCAGAGCTCAGGGAAGGTTTACCGGTGCCATTCTTTCTCCCAGGGCTTGCTTTCCGAAATCCTCCGGAAGGAAGAAGACCCCAAGACAGCATCGCAGTCTCTGCTGGTCAACCTCCGGGCCATGCAGAACTTCCTGCAGTTACCAGAAGCGGAGAGAGACCGGATTTACCAGGATGAGAGAGAAAGGAGTCTCAACGCCGCCTCGGCCATGGGTCCTGCCCCCTTGATCAGCACACCGCCCAGCCGCCCCCCACAAGTGAGTCTTCCACCCCACCTTCTCTTGGTCCCCTTCTTTTTGCCTATTTTGTTGTGGTTTTCTACTTAAAAGTGTTATCTCACCAATGAATTGGTGAACAGATGGATTTCTTAAAAATAATCCCTCATAGTTTCTTGAGATTTTGATCCCATGTCACTATTTCTGATACAAAAACAATAAGCTACTAATTAGATGAAAGAAAATTGCTTGGTGCATCTTTATTCTATGGATTCTTTGGGTGGAGGACATGGTCTTTAAATGAGATATTCGACTCTTCCTAATGTTAGTAAGTGAAGGAATCTTTGAAACTCGGAAGGAAGAAGAAAAAAGTCAATTTCGTCTCAGCCAGTTTAGAACTGTCATTTGAATAGTAAATAAATAAAAAAAATAAGTAATTCCATTTGTATTTATGCTTTCCAATACAAACTGCAGCTGGTACCAATTACACATCATCTCGTTTGTAATCTTTCATAATTAAGTTTAATACAATCCTTGAAGGCAGTTTTAAATAGGACTGATAAGGAATTCCATCCATAGTCCCAGAAATGGGCACACACTCTACTTCTCCAGATTTTTGCACTTTTGGGAAAGAAGAGAAATCACCTTTGAGGTGCCTTTCTGTTTATTCATCTGCATTATTATTTTTTTTTAGTCAAAGTTTAAATTCCAGCCTCAACTGTGATGAGAATGCAAGATAAGACTTGTAGCCACTGTTCAGTTGAAGTTTGATGGTAGTAGGTTAGACTCAATCCACAAGCAAATAGGATTCTTACATGTTGAATTTGCTGTCGGTGCTGCTTTGAAAAGTCAAGTTAGCAAAAATTTGGCTGTAGAATTTTCTTTTTTCCTTTTATTATTATTAATTTTAATGAAAATTTACAGAGATTTTGGATTTCCATTCATTCATAGTTACACTTTTCTCCCTGCCCATCCCTCCCCCCCAGTTCATTCTTCTCTTTGAGAAGTAAATTAGAAGTAATTCTTTCATTGTTACACAATCCCTCCCCCAAGTCCACTCCACTGTGCAGCCTTCATTCTGGACTCCTGTCATGACAGTAATACCTAATCATAAATCCCTTTTAAACAGTTCTCTCCCTCATCTGTTTCAATGCAGAATACATTGTTTATCCCCTCTTTCTCAGGTTGTTGAATTCTTTGTGGAGGGTCCCTAGACGTCAGAATCAGCCAGGGCATTTGGTTTTCCATTTTTTCTAGAATACAAATGCAGAGTAAAGAATTCACGTTGCATAGTGCCATGATGAAATTGTTATGATGTTAATTTTGCTTTATCAATAGTTAAAAACACACTATCCATTCCCAAGAGTGGAAATAGAGAAAAAGCTTATTCAGCGTTAAAGACGGTGCCCTGATGCTCTGGAAGTAAGGAGGAGATGTTTCGTTGAGCTGCTGTTGTGCCTCTTACTCACCGGCTTCCTGCAGTGGTTTGAAGCCATTAGTTTTGTTTTATTTTGTTTTTAACAAGTGTCACATACATTCCTATTATGCCTCTCATGGCATAAAACTCAAACTGGTCTTGATGTCTGTGGAAGCAAACTATAAGGGCACCATTGTTATAACTGGGAATACCAATGTTCGGTTTCTCAAGAAGAAAACAATCCCTTCTGTAAAAAGGTACATACTTATTTACCTGTGCTCTAGGTCATATAGCCCTGGTCTGTCCATTTGCTATACAGAGAGGTAACTTGTGATCGCTGTGAAGCTGAACACTGTGACACTGACGTGTCAAATGTGATAATGGTCACCCATGGTGGACAGTGTTTGGTGGAGCTCCCCGATTAAAACAAGCTTGGAAGCAGGAGTGGCATCCACTTCCGAAATAGCTTGCCTCCAGAAACCCTATGAACATGGAGAGAGGATGAAAGTTATACAGGTGTTCAGGTCTTCGATTCCTAAGGTCACTTTGAGTCGCCTATGACTTGACGGCACTTAACAACAAACACCAACATAGTCTCACGATGAGATTTCGGTTTGTAAACTCTCAGGATAGAGAGTGAAGAACTCTTTGTGCGTGCCCGCATCAAATCGGAACTTGGCGGTAGAGTTGTTGATTGTCACTCATCGCAGACCTGTAGGACACAATGGGCCCACGTTGTTTCCAAGGCTGTTCTCTTAATGGAAGTCGACTGACAGGTCGTTCTCTCATAGAGCAACTGGTGGGCTCAGATCACTGATTTTTTGGTTAGCTCCTGAGCCCCCAAGATTCTTCTATGTCCATGCACATACACCCTGTATGTGTCATGATATGGACAATGTTCCACCCGCCCTGCCCCCCAAAAAAGCATATGTCATTTTGACTGAGCCAAGACTTCTCCATGGTTTGGCATTTAGGCCATGATGTCACTTGGCAGTTAAATGATGATTCCATAAATGATCATCGTGATGTGAGCAAGCATGGTTATAAGACAGACAGGGTAGGAAGCTTGTTCGGGGCATAGGCCTGATCAGATTTAAGGGAAGATTCCCTGGAGAAATGTATCATATGGGAAATGAAAGGAGGGTGAAGGGAACAGAAACCGAAGGACATCAGTGCCTCACAGATAGAAGAGCCAGGAATGGAGGCATCCTTGGGACCCAAGTCTCAGCTTTGAGATCTTTAGACCCAGCAGAAGGTTGATTCTAATACACACGGACATCTCCAATGAGGCTGGGCCACAGATGGTGGAAGGAGCCCGAGACCTGCCCCGGGGCTCAGAACTAGACTCCCCTTAGAGTTGGTGGACTGAATTGGGACTTTTAGCTTCCTCAGCTCTTGAGAGCTGGTAGCCTGGCGGTATGGAGCTGGGCTGCCACCCCAAAGACAAGACAGTTCAAATCCACCAGCTGCTGCATGGGAGAAGGACAATCTCCCATGTGATTTACTGTCTCTGAAAACCAGCTGGAGGGTCAGCTGTGGTTTAGTTCTGATGCCACAGTTCACAACAGCAGACTTTGAGAGAATAAATTTTGATTTGTTGACATCACCCAGTTGCCATATTTCTGTTATATTGCAGCACTAGATAACTAAAAATTTTGTGTGTTGTGTGTGACTTTTATAAGAGTAATTTAAAACAGAAGCACAAACACGTAGACACTTGTAAGCACTTTGATGGAAGCATGGGTGTCTTAGTGTTAACACATACTCGATCAGTAGTTGACTTTGCTTCTGTGGCCACCACTGAAGGGCCTGTGGGCAGCCAGTTAATCACCTCATCGCCTAACCTGCAGAACTAACAGAAGAACGGCACATTCCAGACCTAGGCAGACGTCAGCCCGAATGACTTGCTTTCTCATCTTTAATCTGTTTAAATGCTCCTCATGGTAGGTCTTTAGTCCAGCTTTTGCTTTCTAATTTCTCTAGGATTTTAATACTTCCCTTTGTCCTTCAAATATAATACGACTACTACCCTTATTCATCAAGATTTTGCTTAGCAAAAGTTAAGTTCTTGTTGTTGAGAGCCGTATCTTTTTGTAGACTGGGAGATGCTATTTAGCATCATATATATGTATGTGTGTGTTTAAATAGCATGTCTGTTGTTATATGTAATTTGTTTTGGCTTCAATTATTGATGAACTAATTGAGCCATTCTTAACTCTTTTCAAGAGGGCTTGAGATCAAAACCTAAACTAGGGAAATGAGACAAGGAGTAACGTAAGAATTGTAGATATTCTGCAAGATTTTCAAAGAAAAAGTGCTTCTCTTAATATAATTTTACAGGCTATCTAAACAAATTCCAGAATCATCATCAGATATATGTGTGTCTCTGGAAACTCTGTGAACTTTGATAAATGACAATAGTTAGAGAAAGGCTTCAGGCCTTTTGTTCATAGGGTTGTTAAGAGTCGTGCTCAACTTGATGGCGATCAACAACAGCAACGCCATTCTACTTCTCTAACATAAATGTGTAAAGTATATTGCTTAATATTACTAGAGCTTTTGCCTTTTTTACCTTTTACCATTTAACAGCAATCAGATTAATTAAGTAATTCATAATGTATTGAAAGTATTATCAGTACAAAGTGAGTATGTAGATTTGGGAGCGCATTTCTTGAACAGTTAGGTTTGTACTCTTTTGCAAGAGATGATATTAAAGACTTCAAAACTGGAGCCAGTCCACCGTGTGTGAGCCTTTAACATGTTTATGACATGTGACAAGCACAGCGGAACAAGACTGGAAGAAGCCAGAGCCGTAGAAACAGACCAACTGTAAAGTTTAGTCCCTTTTCATTTTGCCGGTAACAGAAGAGAAGCACAATGATACAGCACATTTCATTTCCTTCAAAATGACAAGAATTGGAGATTAATCTCAAGTTTATTATGTGGGACCTGGATCCGGATATCTTTCTAAAGAGCTGCGTGTGGTACGAAGCCTTCCCTGGCTCCAGGAAGACCCAGTTTACCTTTAACTTCAAGAGACTGTGGTCTCTCCTCCATCTTCAGTGTGGCATCCAGGTTGCACACTCAGAGTGCCTTATGCCTCTGGGACATTCCAGACCAAGACCCAAACATGTGAGGCATTTGGATTCAGTCCATCTTCAGATGGGGCATCCTTGGTCTTAGTCCAGCCCCAGGTCTGGGAGACTCACTTGTTCTTAGAAGTCACCAAAGCTTGGACAGTGCCCACTGGGTGAGGGCTCTCCTGTGGGAACATCTAGGCTGGGTGCTTTACTGACATCTGGGACAGTAGCCTCTGAGCCAGACCTGTTTGCTGGAAGCACATTTTTTTCACACGTTAACGTGCTTTAATGCAAGAAAAAAAGAATACCTTGTTTTGGGTAATGATTCACAGTTTTCTGAGCACCTTCACATACATTAATTCATTGACTTCTCCTCCCATCATTTTGGGATGAGAACATCACAACGGAGGTTTAGTCAAAGTTTTCACATCTCCTGTTTAAATCCATTCTTTTCCTCTATGTCAAGTCACCTTTCAGAATGCAGGCAAATTTATTTTCGATGGAGTAAGATGAGACTTGGGGCTGGGCCATTTCTGTGTAGCGTA